AAAAAAAAAAAAAAACAGAGAAACTGGAGGCAATTTTACTCCTGGATGAAAAACGATGTGCACAGTAGTCATTGTATTAATATATAACTTCTAATTATTAACCATGGAAGCGTTGTTAGTGCAAGATTAATAAAAGCAAGGCCATTTAATATATCTGTAATCCAGATATATGCACCTACCTCAGATAGCAGTGAAAACGAGATTGGACTTTTCTATATAGATCTAAGCATGATAATAGAGAAAACACCGCGGAGAGTTGTGATCATCATTGGAGGTGACTAAAATAGAAGATAAAAACCTTGGACAAGATGGAAGAGCATGCACAAGAGTGGAAGAAATAATAGGCAATAGGAGAAGCAATTGAACAGACCCTACGAGATGAGGAAAAAATCGACAAGAAATGAATCACACAAGGGACCATAAAGCTTGTCCAAGAGAAAACTGCTCTTAGACTTACAAGAGACATTTCCGAAGAGTTGGAAAAAGAGTACAAGGTTAAAGTGCAATGAAGTGAAAAAAGCAATTAGGATGGATAAAGAAAAATGGTTACAAGATCAGTGTAGAAAATAGAAAAATATTATGGAAAATGTAAGACTAGAGAAGTATATAAGATGATCGGAAATGGAAACTAAAGCAAATGACAATCAAAGATGAGAAGGGAGAGATTTTAAAAAAAAATGGAAGTCCTAGAGAGGTGGACAAGTTATTGCTCTGAACTATACAAAGAAACGTTAGATACTAATAATCTAGTAGATGAATTAAGGAAGATATCGCCATCAAGTGTTGAAAATGAAATGATATTATGAGGACGGAAGTTGGAAGGGCAGTGAAACGGTTAAAAGACAATAATAGTTCCGGGCATGACAAAATCACAGGAGAAATGATTATGCATGGAGGAGAAAGCTTAATTAACGAGATAGACCAAGTGTGCAATAAGGTATAGACACAAGGAAAATTACTATTGTTGTAACGAATAGTATATTCGGCCTCAGGCAGAATAACGAATATTCGGCCAGGAGCGTTGCCGAATAGCCGAATATTGATTAACGCACGTACGAAAATTCGCGCGCAAACCGCGTTATGGCAAGGATCATGCTCTCTATTGGCCTGCATATCTGTAATCTGCTTCGCCTGTAATATCTGTAATATCTGTAATGTCACTACGCTTCGCCAATCGCGTTAATTCTTGGCAGTTGTAGCCGACAGACAAGAGTGTCATGGAAGTATGTGCTAAATGATGATATCAAATGACCTACACTTGTAAATAACGGAAAAAGAACAGAGAAAGACCGCGAAGTGAAAATGTGAAAATAAATATGAAATTTAGTTGATAACATAATCGAACGAGTCGAGGCAGCTTATTGCCGCGAAATTCGCNAAAATTATTTTTTTATTTTTTACAAACAAAATAAATATATTGAAAAATATAAAAACAAAAAAAATTATACATTAGAAGTTAATCTAGTATCAAAAACGTTCGATTCAGCACGACACACAGTCCTCAGAAAAACACCACACAAAAGTTCCAGTGCTGCCAGCTAAAAACACACATCAACGAAAAAAATATATCGGAATAGCCTAAGATATAGCCAAAGATTGCAGCGCCACAGCACTAGCGAAAATTTAAATTTGCCTACTGAAATTCTTTCGGATAACCGATTATCGGATAAATGACGTTCTACTGTAGTGTTTTCAGCTGTTATTATAATACTATTTGTGTATCTGTTTTTATTATAAACCGTATCTTCAATATTTTTCATATGTAATGTAATACGTAACAATTATCGTCCTTCAGATTTTTTTCTACAAGTAGAATTTAATTAACTTAACATTTTTTCAATTGATATAGCGAGATTTTTATAAATAACATAAAAGTATAAAGGATGCTTGATCGAAAGTCTGGATAAATATGAGATGAGACTTGTCTAATTATAGAAACGACTTTAAGATAGTACAGGATTTTTCTCAAGTAATAAAATATCGAGAATAATATAAACTTTTAATTAAAAACTGTTCTATGATTCCTTTTTTAATATTAGGCTACATAGGCCACAATATATCATTTCTCGTCTATTATAAATTTTAAAAACCACTATATTTCAACATAATCGAACAGATCGATTGGTATTTAACGAGCGCCAGCTTTGTCGCCAACCCATAGAATTAACATTGTGAAATTTGACTTTATATATCTTCGGCTACGGGTCGAATTTTAAAATGCGGTTTGTGTTGTAACCTAGACAGAGAAAAATGTAAGAAAAATTATCTTCTTTATCTCCTGACAGTTAATAAGTTTCTTATCCTTTCGGAAATCATACAATATTTTTCCTCTATCAATAAACAATAGAATCGGATGTCAAAGCAATTTGCCTGTCACAGGATAGCAAGTAATTTATATAAGCAATAAAGTGTTTCTTAAAATCACCGTCATAATAGTTGTCAGGCGGAATATAAGGCACTATTAATTGCATATCGATTAACTCTTCCGTATCTAATTGTAAAGTCATATCAGTTTAATCTTAGAAACTATATAATCTAAGCCCGATAATTAAGCATCCACAGGGACTTACAGGCCCTTCACAACTATGCCTGTTAAACAGAGAAGGTTTAAACTTATAAACAGTCTTATTTAATTGTATACATTAGTAAATTAATAAAATAAACATAATTTAAAAATAAAGACAATTTACAGAAATAAAACTTCGAACTGTTTGTTTAGACTTTAACAGAAGCTTAGTTTCAATATTGTTAGGTTCAGGTATAGAGTGAAAGGAGTAAAAGAATTTTCATGGAGACGAATTATGTTTGAGGTTACAACTTATTAACTGAGAACGTCTGTAAATATAGCTTTCCCTTTAATATTAGGAGTGTTGTTGTATAGTTTATTATTATAAAATTCCTTCTAGTAGGTTGGTCTATTTTTGAAAATTTCCTTATATGAACGTCTACGAGAAAACACTAAGTTTCCTATTTGATGATAAATTACACCAAAAGTAAATACTTTACTTTTGGTGTAATTTATCATCAAATAGGAAACTTGGTGTAATTTATCATCAAATAGGAAACTTTATTATATCAATGCTACAGTCACGTTTATTCCTTCTATAATTCTTATTCCTGTTTTTCTGTATAAATTACAAATATTCAATACCGCATCTGTCATAAATACCACCATAAAATTATAGTTTTGTGATTACTTAAAAGCACTGTCCACTCCTGTGTTATATAATTTATGTAAAAAAATCTTTACACTAATAAAATTAGATATATCATTTATAATTTTAATTATTTAATCATTTGTGCGATCAACACGTCCGATAAACGAACATCGTTTGAATGTCTCTTTCAGATGTCCAAAATATAATAAGAAATAACGAAAAAAGCATAAATATACACAACAATGCAATATACGTTACTTGAATTTTCTATTTTGTTTTTTCTATTAAAAAATAATAAACTTTTGTCGTGAACATTTCATATAAAACACTTCGAAATTTACAATAATAACAAAACTAATAATTATTTTATTTTACAATGATTTGCTATGAAGCAGTAGTTAACCAATTATCATTTACTTTATTTTTAGTTCGCGAAGGCTTGTTAGTTAACTTCTAACTTTATCTGTTAATCCTCAGTTGTAAGTCAATCAGTGTTCGAGGTGGTCAGTGGTTTCATTCACTAAACACCGGTAGTTGAACGTGAGTTCGTCTTTTACCCAACGAACTGGCTACGTAAAGTTTCTTTTTGATGTTCTTCAGGTGTCTAACTCTTAAATAAGAGCTAGTTCCTCACAGAAAATCCATTCCTAACAGATCTTCCATTGTTTTTATTGCCTCTTCCAAGGGCAATGAGGGTTACGAAGGCCATTTATTTAACCAGATATTTTTTTAATAAAAATGTGTTCAATCGGAAACTTTTATCACAGACTCCTGCAACTCATCGTTTTAATAAAACTATTTGCTACATATCAGACCATACGAAGATTATTGTCAGCTAAGTTAAGAATCCTTCAAATCAACTAGAGATTGCACCATAATTACATATCAATCAGAGTACGTTACGTAACAGCGGCTAGAATTAGTACAGTCAAATAGTTAGGACCATCGCACAGTTTAATAGTCCAAGGGCACTTTTAGATACATTAAAAAATTTCCTCCATTCAGTTTGTAGTATTCCTCCATCAGTATTTGGCCTAAACGATGCTAGGAATTCGAGCACAGTTTTAAAAACGACCAATATAACTTATATTTTTGAACTAGTAACCTATACGTATATTATAATAGTCTTATTGGATTTCTTCTTTGAAAATTCTTTATGACTAATTTACGATTTTGGCAGATTACTGACGTGAAAGTGTTATTGGCTCAATGACGGATTGGGCAGCATTCAAATACACGAGATAAAAGAGAAAAATCAGGAGTGAGAGGAAAGTTTGATTGACCACAATGAAAGTCAAACTGACGTATAACTGTCGCTCTACTGGACATCTGTGTATCTGACTATTCTTGTTTTATATTTGGTAAATAGTTATTTATAACTTAAAGACTGAAACTAGAACTTCGAAGTTGTGAGGTGTCTTTCCGACGGACGGCAATAAATAATAGAAGATAAAGACATTGGGGATAGACTCCTTAGATTCACTTAACATAAATGAGAATAAACAAAAAGTAGATCAATGAGAAAGGTCGGAGCGGATTGTAAATGATTTTCAATTGAAATATCGTTACTGACTAGTTATTTTCGAATATATAAGAAAGGAATTAGCCAATTGAAATTATTAATTCGCAGATAAAATCTGCCACATTTTCTTTCAAAACTGCAAGATACAGAAAGCCTTTGATAAATCTGTTTATACAGTCAAAAGAGCAGTATTTACATATTCTTTAAATAAGTGTAAATATTATTTAAAATTTTATTAAACAATAAACTGTATTAAAATACAAAAATTGTTATAAAAATAATCAGAAAAAATAAATAAACATTTTTAAAAATACGCAGACGAAACTTGAATTACATGCGAAGATAATATGGTATTCTGAGAATCATTGATCACATTTTCAAACTTTTCTGTGCTTAGAATAATCTTCTTCTTGATGTTTTGAAATTTCCAAATGATCTAAATTAAATTTGCATTCAAATGTATCATTTCATTTTTCTATAAGAAGTTTGCTTCTGTTCAAACAATTCATTATAATAAAGCCGATCAGATTAAGGAAATTTATGATAATTATTTCATTCCTCAAGCACTTTTTATGCACGACTAAATAATTATTTTTTATTTTAACAATTCTTCATTCGTATTCGGAAGATCTGAAAACTCTTCGTTAGATCGCCGCCTCCCATCACTTTTACATAATAATAAGAGGAAACTGTCCCACAATGACAGCATAACTGGAAGAATACACAACCCTTGAATTATAGAAGAAACAATGAATATGATAAATATTTTAAACATCTCTTTGAAAAATTCATACGGAGCAAATATTAATGGAGCAACGCCGAAAAGTGATGAAAGACAACCTTGCACAACCGCGTGACCAACAGTATCTAAACAATCTTGTAGTTTTTCATGCGGATTCTTTCCTTTACTCTTCGCATACGCGTACGATATATGAGCTGCGTAATCCGTACAAAATCCGGTGATCACTATTACAAAAACTGTCACTATTGGATGGAATGTAACATCCCATACAGACATATATCCTATAGTTATTACTTCAATACAAGCTATTGTGAGCGCAATACAAAATGCACAAAAGAAATTCGGTATCAAAATGAGAAATATCAAAATCACTACGCAAGAACTAACGACTATTGATTGAGTTGCTGCGGGAACTGCCACAAATATAGAATCAAAAAAAATATATCGATAATTGTAACAATATACCGAAAGATTATATTTATCTATTATATTCCACAGATTGATAAAAATTTCATTTTCTTTCAGTGAATTATCAACTAATTTTGCTTGAATGAGAAATCTAGAAGCTAATATTTTATCGCCATCTTCATTGAATACAATGTCCTTGTTGAAGCGTTTGGCCCACTTGAATTTAAGAAATACTTTGCGTAAAGCATCGGTGAAGTCTTCGGGTCGACTTAAGTTGTATCCTCTGAGAGAAATCCAAAACTGTGGATCTTTAATGTATTTCAAGTATAGTCTCAGCCACGATTCCGTGAAATTACTCCCGGCCATATGAGGAGAATTCTCCAGTTCTGTCGTTAATTTCTCTAGATTATTCTGAATGTTTGGATCGGAGTAATCCAGTGACGAGGTAACAATTATCTGGACTCTATCTCGATATTTCGAATAGAACGTATATTCATCACGAAGGAAGTTTATCATGTAAGAATTGTCGCTAAATGCTTTATTGATACCTGTCGTTGATCGAGTATATTTCGTGAAATAGATTCCTCCAGCGAAATACGATAGAAAAAGAATAATAATAGCTGCTTTTACAATTGGAAACGTTAGTATCTTTCCTAAATGATTTTTGTAACAAGTCATTGTTGTGTTGTTTTCGTTATCTTCACTTGAATAACAGCCATACTTTATAAATCCCAGAAAGCCTATTAGAAAAAATAAAGAAATAAATATAATATACTATTTCGTTTTAATAACTTAAAATATGTTTATTATTAAAATTTTGTATTATTTCTAAATAATTCGTTTTGTTTAAATTACAAAATGAAATTTAAAGACACAATACGATTATGAATCACTCTTAATTTTAATTGTTTTGATTTTCAATCACAATACTGTGAAATTTCTTGTAGGTATCACACCAAATGATAATGTGATTCCTACTTACTATATCACTTTATATATTTTAGAAACGTGTAGTGTCTGAGTCAGTGGTAAGGAACTAATAATGAAGCATAGATTTTTTATAAAAGACAATGAGTTCTGTAGGTATAAATTCCGATATAACTATACAACTATAAATACGACATTAGACAAATTGAATAAATGCAAGAACTATTCGTCAGAGTATTTATATGAACAATAATTAAATACTAAATAGAAACGACAAGTCAGGTGCTGTACAAATGGCTAATCCATGACAGGCCAGGGAAACAAACAAATTCGAAGTTTTAAACGTTTATTATATTCTATTTAAACCAGTGGCGTGCCGTCATTGAAAGCGGTGGAAGCGCCGCTTCCCTTGCAATTTCTAAAAAATAAATACATATTAATTAATTTTAATTATATGAAAATAATCGCACAATATTTTATTATAACCGCATTATGTATCTTATTACAAATTTCTATACTACACATGAAAAAAAAATAAGATCGCTATTGTATATTCGAATATTAGTGGCGGAGTGGAAGTGCTGTATCGTCAGCATCCAAAAAGCCAGATTCGCCCCCAATCTCACCCAGTTTAGCCGGTGGGAGCCTACGATCTCGGTTAGATGCTACACGTATACCGCATCCAATTCTATCAGGGACCGCTTCCGGGCCGTTAGCCGCCTGCTCGCTAGATATTTGACCCCCTCGCCCGATTACGGGAATCGCATGTCGATTTATAACTTAACTCGACCGATAAGAATTTACTGGTACGTTTTTACGATAGTTCTGTATAGTTGACAGGAGTTTAAAAAATCCATTAAAATATTTGATATTTTTTATCCGCTCTCCAATTTTATATTACTCACGGATTTCAATGTTAAACCGGTGATATTACGATTTCGTATATCCCATCTTTAATGCGATGTAGAAAAAATTCTTGTATAGGGGAGACCGGAGCAACTTCGGCATGCGGGGCAAGTGTGTCAAGCGCTTTTTTTCAAAAACAAATTAAAAGAAGACTTTGGTTATAGGTTAGGCAGTTGAGTTTTATTGGTGGCTTGTTGAGTGTAGTGTTTTTATTGTTCTCCAACAAGCGTAGTTGAATTAATAAGCAAATTTTCATTTTCGTTCAATTCCATATAATATTTTGCTTCCATTTATATTGAATTGGCAGGTTTTGTTATAATTCCATGATAACGAAAGTTACTTTTCCTGTTAGAAGGATGTAACTTCAACTTATTCACGTGGCCAGATCGTGGCTTGGCATTCTGTTCTCAGGGTTGTACTTAATGTTTCGAAATCA